AAATATTCCTGGCATCTCTTCTCTTAATCCAACTGTCCATTATATTACCAAATTTAAAGTCTATTGGATTGGTCGATATTATTGTTTAAAGAGATCTGCATATTATCCTGTCAATAAAGAAGTTCTTTGGTTACTCTCCTACACAAGTAAATATCAAATATATTGTTGCTGAAACTATTCAACTCAGACAATTCAAACTTTCACAACAGTCATAATTGTCAAGTATTCGATTATGTCTCTTCATGATACCCAATGATGGAGTAAAGTTATCGATTTCCTACAACTTTTTAAATTTATCCTTGACGTCAAAGTATTCCTACTAAATTTTCGAGATTTCAAATTAAAAGTGGTGCCTAATACAATCTGTGTGAGCGAATCGCGTGAGAGCTGGTAGTATAACAAGCAGTTATCAGTCTTCATAACACAGTTTGCTGGCTTTCCGTTTTGCTTCCCTGTTCAAAATTCGAGATCATTGGGTCTTTTGATAAATTCGTTAACATCAAAGAATCTTTCGATATTTTTTATACTTCGATTTCGCTCTTCGGGTGTTTTTGAAACACGCGCCCAAATACTGTGAATTTGCTCTGAAAATGCTCTACCCATACATTTTCCCGGTATCCAAAATTCAAAACTCAAGTCGCTGTAAGCAATTGCAATATTTTTGCGTTTCAAACCTATTCTCGAGCAAAACGCTAAAGGTACCATCAAATTCAACTACGACAAATGTCTTTTCAGTAATTCTCTCCATACTTTTTCTTCCTGTCTTAAGTAATAGTGACGGTAGCTGATTCGTAGAAATCATCGAAACTTTGTTTTACTATTTAATTTGCGTATTCGACCCATTGTTATTCAGTCTGAAGTAGTGACGTAGTTTGTCAGTGATTACTAATTTGTATCCCGAAATGGGACTCGCTAGTTAAACTAGTAATTTCATGTAGATGTGAGTAGTCGAACAATCAACATAAAATGATGTCTTCTCGTCTGACTGAAACCTTTCCAGACACTTGTCACTCCAACATAGCGATTCGCATCGTATTTCTTAGTCGCTAGGAATAACGATTAATATGTTGAGGGGCATTTTTGCAAAACAAGGATTTATTAGCGGCTATAACAGTCCGTATATTTCAACATATTGATTTCGTAGATATTAGCGAATATATATTAGAAACAGTGTGTATAATCGGACAAGCACTTCCGAATAATATCATGCTGGTAATGTAAATATCGAAACACGGAAATCTTGTAATAATAATTTCGTGAATAAAGTACTGGACGTTCTCGGTAACGTTTTTTTTTTTTTTATCTATGCCAGAATTGAAATAAGCATTTTGAATGCAACAATTACGAAGATGAGGAACGAAAAAGGAACGAATCAAAATAAGTACAGGAAAAAAATGAAATGACTGAAAAATATTTTGAAGTGGTCGTTGGCCAGAAGAATGAGGGTGACCTTTGCAGCAATATTGAAATTTAAGAGAAAAAAGCATTTGCAATCGAAAAAATGGCAAGAATTTTAGTAACCATTGAACTGTAGGAAGGCGCATAGCAAAAGATGGTGAGAAAGACGCTAAAGAGAGGCATTAAGCTATGGAAATGTCTTTAGGAATTCGCTTCTTTCAAAACCGAGAAGCAAGTAATAGCAATGATGACGATTCCCGTTTGTAGCAGGAGCGAACTTTGCAAAATAGTCTTTCGATTTTGGCATCGCATATTTAATTGAGAAACTTTCGAGAATTTTAAAAATCCATCAACAGTTTTTCAGAAGTTCTGAAAATTTCTTTAGCGGATTTCAATCAAAAATAAATCAAATAAGAAACGATCGAATTCGGAACTTTTGCCTTAATTGAAACTTTAAAACTGATCTGCATCCTGTAAGTTTAGTATTTTATTACATCAAGAAATATTATTGGAAAGTGATAAAAAATGGCAATAAAACAAAAAACAAAAAATGGCTTTATAGAATTGCTAAAATTGGGATACGAATTCAATGGTTTATGATGAGTCATTCGAATATCACTTCTCGGTGGAAAATACGGCGAGGAATGGAATAGTGCCTGTCCTTTGCCGCTGCTTTATGGTTTTGTGTCCCTTTTCAACTTGCTTATCTACCCCACTAATGACATCATCATTGCAACTGCTTCCTGTGGAATTATTTTTCTGAACAATTTAAAATATCGTATAAACTACTTATTATGTACTACTTATTGCAGAGCGGAAGTTTGGTTTGCTCTGATAATCTTTACAGAAATCTTGCAGTAACACAGCAAGGATCATTGTTGGGAATGGAAGTAAGAAAATTTTCTGCACATTATTCCATCTTCCAGCACATCGAAGTAGAACTTCTATCATATCCTGAATGTATGACCGATTCTCTGATGGTGAAATCATCCTCAGAAAAACTACAAATAAATAGATTACAAGAAAAAACACTTTGCTGTCGTTCGTCTAGTGCATTTTAATTTCTGTTTATATTCGTGTACCTATGTTGCACTTGATTACGCAATATCGATCCCTATGTCTGTTTGGATGGCGTAATTGCTTTTTATAAATAAAAGCGAAAATTAAAGACCGTAACAAAAAGCTTACTGTAGGAAAAACTTCGAAAATCATAATGCAAATTTTCTGTCGGATTACCGAAATTAAAGCTACGTCCAAAGAAAATTTCCATAATATCCAAAAAGCGAGATGACGAAATCTTGTAAGTAAAATTGAAGCAATGAAGAGATATAAGCTAACAATGGACAGCGTAAAACAAAAACGTCTCAGTACCTACACAGTGTACAGTGCCAAAGGCTAGCCATACCTCCATGATAGCCCCGATGGAGCTTACAGAACTTCTCTCTGATCCTTATATATATATATATATATGAAAAAATCCCGAGACAGTTCTTTACAACCGAGCAGACGATAGATCCTCTTCGCTTATTCTCCACGATTGAACCACAAACGACGACATCGCATATCTGCACCATTGAACAACAAACTACGATATTCTTCTATTCGCTAAATGATTTCCCGTAACATATTTCCAACTCAACGATCTGTCAACTAATCGACAGTCAAATTATTGTCCAAGGCAACGACAAGGAGTTTGTTAGTTGATCATACTACTTGCTTTTTCTATAACCATTTATCATTGCTTACCAATTCATCGTGTAATATACATATATATATTTTATACCTTTTCTTGTTGGTAACTAGTAATATTGTGCAAGAACAATATTACATCCCGAATAAATCTGTATAGCCGAGAAATGAGTTCAACAGAAAA